TAACTTCTTAGTGTCCACCTCTACCTGGCTGTCTGGACAACCTTTCAAAACTTTAAAATGTCCAAATCTAAAGTGATCTCACAAAAAGCAGTTTCTACTCCTATCTCTGTCTCTTTTCTATGTTCTATACTTATCTACAAACTCAAAACCTACACTATCTTTGATTTTTTTATTTTTCCTCCATATATTAATCTTCATATATGTTCTCATGCTAGCCTCTCTTGCTGTAAATCCAGTTAATTACCAAATTCTGTAGATTCTGCTTCCACATCATCTTTAAACCATGCTTTAAAATTTCTCCACCCTACCTTTAGTTCAGACTCATCCTTACTTTTCACCTGGCCTATTGCAGGTCTATCTGGCAGTTTTACCACCTCTAATTTCTGTATCCATTCACAGCGAGATCAAAGAAAAGCTGTGCTTTTCTTCCCCAAAACTTTTAAAGCACAAAACCTAAAAACACTGAATTAAATACAAATTCTTCTACTTGGTATCTTAGGCCCCATTTCCTCAGTCTCTGCTACAGCTCAACATGCCCTAGAGCAGTGGTTCTCAACCTTTCACAGGGGTCGCCTAAGACCATCGGAAAACACATATTTTCTATGCTCTTAGGAGCCGAGACACGGCTCCTCTATCCGTCTCCAGGCCCACATGCAGATACGCCCATTTATGAGTACCCGGCGACCCCTGTGAAAAGGTCGTTCTACCTCCAAAGGGGTCGCGACCCACAGGTTGAGAACCGCTGCCCTAGAGTCTTACTATTTTGCTTTTTCCTGAACACGACTTTCATTGATTCACCATACATCCTCAAACTATCCCGTACTGCTGCAAAACCTTCTCCATCTCATTCACGGTCAATCCCAAATGCCTTTTTCATGTTGCCTTCATTTCCTGATTCTCCAGACAGGTGAGTTCTTTCATCATCTGCAGTACTCCTTGTATTTTTCACATGGCACCTATCATGGTTTGTCTTTTATTGTTTTATCTTTGTTTTATTCCTTACTCTCTGAAGGCAAGGATGACACTTCAACTCCCCTCTGTAACCCTGCAGCATCCTACCCATATAGGGGTCTGTGTCTCCTACTAGCTGAATCAAAGTGATTTAGTGAGATAATATGATGCAATGGTAAGCAGCACAGAACTTGAAGTCAGTACAGCTGGATTCCGGCTCTATTTATTAGCTGTGAGGCTTTGGGTAAGTCACGTAAGTTGGCTTGTAAAATGAGACTCTTACTACCTGATATAACACCAAAAACGATAACGTGAAAGTGCCATGTTAACTCTACAGAGAAATGAGCAAGTTCCTTACAAAGATCTGATGCACTCTT